CTCTGAGCTGTCAGCACAGAGCCCCACGCCGGGCTCGAACTCACAAGCCCTGAGCCGAAGTCGGACGCTTAAGCTTAACCGACTGAGCCACCCAGGCGCCCCCGTGCTCTTTTTCAACCACGATATCCTAGAGAAGGGCTGAGCTGGTCCCCCGCTCACAGGCCTCTTTTTCTCCCAGACACAAACTAAGCCAAGAGTCTCACACCCCTCACTTTTCTCAGGGGCGATGAGCCCTTTGGCGCCCATGCTCCCTCCGAGGGTCTCTCTATCACATGCTGCTCTGTGTACCCCCTGCAGACCAATGGCCTTCCAGGCCACCCTCCCCCTCCTCTGCCTCTGGGGAGATTCCAATCCCTCCCCCCCGACCTGGTGGGACTCTAGCCACCTCCTGCAGAGATCCTGGATCGGTGTCCCACCCCTCGCCCCTCCCTCACCATCAGGAGCAGTTCCAGCTTCTGGCAACGCATGTCTGGCATGGAGAAGAAGCCATGGAAGACCGCTGACTGGCTGCGTGCAAAGCGAAGCCTAGGCGGCCGGCGGTCCCGGTCGGCCTCCAGGGTGTAGGCCAGGGCTGGAGGTGGATGGGGTGGTTAGCAAGCGGCCAGGTAACCACGCTCCTCCCCGCCCCGCACCCCCACACTCACTGATGTTTCTCCTGTAGTTGGGGTTCCCGGCACTCTGGTTGTAAGCAAAGCACAGCTCCACCTGCACGCTGTTGGGAGGCGGGAGACACATAGGAGGGCCTGCTCACAGCGGGACCCAGTTATCCAGGCCCTGGCTCTCACCCCTGTACTGGGCAAGGGGAAACCAGGGCCCTTAGAAGAAAAGGCAGGGACAAAACTGGGGAGTCCACACAGCTGGTTTGGGGTGTCCCTGGTTTCTTCCCTCCCCACTCCCATTAGAGCCATAGAACACAGGGTTAGAGGTCACCAGTTGGGAAACTGAGGCCCTGAGAGCAGAAAGAGTTGTCTGAAGTCACCCGTTGGTTGGTGCCCTGCCCAGTCTTGTATAGGACCTGCTGTCCAGATCTCTTTCTCCCACTCACCCCTGCTCTCTGCTCTGTGGCCCTTTGCCTTCTGATCCAGGCCTCATTCACGCACAGACCCCGGGGTCATCACCACTGTTATTACTGTCACCATCTTAGCAACTAACACGTTCTGAGCACGTAGGGTGTACAAGGTGCCGTGTGAAGGGCTTTGTGTACGTTATCTCATTGAATTATCACAACAATCCTGCAAGTTGGTTATTATTGTTAACTTTGTTTTATAGGCAACGACTCTGAGACTCAGGGGGATTAACAGTTTGCCCAAGGTGGCTCTCTGTCCTGTCCCCCTAAGTGTCTCCCTCTCCCCTCCTCCTCTAGGAACCCACTCCCCAGAGCCCACCCCTGTATACCACTGCAGTGGGCATAGCTGGGATTTATTCAAACACTGCAGTCCAGAGCTCCCACTCCAAACCCATGCTCGACTACCTCCCCCCACCCGCCCTGACCAAAGTGGGTAATTTGCCTATTACCTCCTGCAAAGAAGTCGGCTTTTTAATGAGGTTGGATAGGAGGGGCAATGCTAACCCCAAGAACCAACCCTCTAACGGTGGGATATCAGGAGTTGCCAGGGGAGGGGTCTGGGAGCCAGGGTCCTTCCTGGCGTGCTCATATATAGAGAAGTGGGTGGACAGAGCAGGGGCTGAGAGTCTTACCAGGAGGTAGCTGTGCAGAGCGCAGGGTCCAGCACGGATGGCCTGGCTACCAAGGTCTTGTGGAGGATGTTGATGACCGGTCGCGCCCTGCAGGGAAAACACACAGACACCAGTGCCTCCTGCCTGCCCCCTGTCAGGCCAGGCCTGGGGCTCATGCTTGCATGGACCCGGTGCCCAGAGATGGTGGACAGAGGTGGGGCTCCACGCGACAGGGCTGGAGGAGAGAAAGGCCCCCATCTACCATTGCCCTGGCTTACCGCAGCAGTACAACGTGGTCTGACAGGCTCCCCACTAGGAGGTCCGGGTAGAAGTTCTCATCCACGTCCATCCGTCCACTCAGTGAGTAGCCAAAGGTGGCCAAGCCAGGCAGTCCCAGCTCCTCCCCAGGGATCACCTGGGGGCAGGGGGAAGCGGTGGGGACAGGCTCAGGGTGAGCTCTGGGGAGTGGGGCAGAAGGGGAAGAGGGAGAAGGTGTCTGCGGGGAAGGAAGGCAAGCCCCCTTTGTCCCTGTCCATCCATACCTGCTGCGGCTCTCTGAGGAGCCCCCTGGAGCTGCTGTGATAGATGTACACTTTGCCCAAGCCCTCGAATGGGGCTCCCACAGCAACGTCTGGGGAAGAGAGGCAGGACGGTTGACTCTGGGTACTGTGGGCCCCCTGTCCCTCCAGCCTTGCGCTCCAAGGCCACAGGGGCCAGCATGAAACTGACCTCACCCTGCCAGGCGGTGCTTCAGAACATCAGGGAACAGAGCTCGATGGCTGGGGATTAAAACGGGGACCATCGTGAGCCCAGTTGCTTCCTTTTAAAGTAGGTCTAGGAGAGGCAAATGACTTACCTAAAGCCATACCGCAAGTTAACGCCAACGGGCAGACCTAAACTCCAGATTCCTGAGGAAGCAGACTCAGAAAACCCCAAATCACACAACTAATGAGTAGAAAAGAGGACAGTTTGAGTCCCTGTCTGTCTACCACTGGGGGCTGGAATTTTAATCACACGATAACTTTTCTTGTTAAGATTCGTTAGACTTCAGACTTTTAAAATTCTAACCGGTATTGGGGCGCCTGGGTGGCTCAGGCAGTTGAGCGACCGACTTTAGCTTAGGTCATGATCTCACGGTTTGTGAGTTCCAGCCCCGCGTCAGGCTCTGTGCTGATGGCTCAGAGCCTGGAGCCTGCTTCTGATGCTGTGTCTCCCTCTCTCTCTGCCCCTCCCCCACTCATGCTCTGTCTCTGCCCCTCCCCCACTCATGCTCTGTCTCTATCTCAGAAATAAACATTAAAAAAAATTTTTTTAATTCTAACCGGTATTTCCACAAATAAGCCCCGAATGTTTTATGATCTTCTTAAATTTTACTACACTCTTTCTAGTTTGCCGTTTTTGATCTGACGAGGCCTAGGTAACCAGAAAGCGAAGCTTGTTAGAAAAGTATGTAAAGGAAAAGTAAGTAGGTCCTGAGTAGAAACCAGACAACTCTTCTATCAGTAAATGCTTAGGCTTTGCTAACCGAACTTTCTAGCACCTATTTTGGCTCTTTAGAGGCTCCTCTGCCTTCCTTTCAGTTCTCAGGTATGTTCTGGGAAATCAAGGTTGTCAGAAAAAGTGGTTTCCAGATAAGCCGGGTGCTCTCATGGCAACCAGGCTCTTCCTTAATCTGTCCCCTTTCCTTGACACCCCAGGTCTAATTGGTCCCCAAGTCCCGTAGAGCACTGGACACCCTCTATATCTAGGCTCCCATTTTGTCCCAGCCCTTAACACCCCACATTTGATATAATACGTTCTTGGGGCACTTGGGTGGCTCAGTCGGCTAAGCATCTGACTTTCGCTCAGGTCATGATCTCACGGTTTGTGGGTTCGAGCCCCGCGTCAAGCTCTGTGCTGACAGCTCAGAGCCTGGAGCCTGCTTCGGAATTCTGTGTCTCCTTCTCCCTCTGCCCCCCCCCCCCAACCCCTTGCACTCTGTCTCTCTGTCTCTCTCAAACACAAACATAAAAAATATTTTAAAAAAAGAATACATTCTTGATCTTAATACCCCAGCCTTGCTCTCCCCCAATCATTCCATATCACCCTCCAGAATCATCTTTCAAGGTAGCAAGCTATCAGATCACATCCCTGCCCCAAAACCTTCTCTGGACACCCCTCCGCCATTACCCACACGTAAAGCCCCAGTTCCTCTGCCCGGCTTTCACAGCGTCTACCCCGTCTCCACAAGGCCATTCCGGTCTCATCTCTGACGTGAACACCCCACATCCGCTCAATTTGGGCAGATGAGGGCAAGTACCCCATGCTCATGTTCTGCCCCTTCTGTTCCCCTCCAGTGTGCACACTCAGCCCAGACTCCGATGCCCAGTGGTACATCCACTCCTCCAGGAGGTCCACCGAGCTTGCCTCTGGTGGCTCCCTCCGCACAGCCTCTCTCTATGACTGCTGTGAGCTCCCTGGCCCTGGGCCCCAGTCTCCTCTTCAGGCCCTGCCAAGGCTGGTATGCGGCTGGCACTCAGTCAGTGGGTGTGCTGGGGCAGGAGTGCTGGCTCATACCCTGGAATCCGTCCTGGTTGATGTCACCAATGCTGGCCACAGAGAAGCCAAAGGCAGAGCGACTGGGGCCGTGAAGAAGGAGGGAGGGGTGGGCAGGGAAGGAGGTGCCTGCCTGGTTCATGAAGACATAGACGGCACCCCCCACCTCTTCTTTCCGCTCAAAGTAGTATGGGGCGCCCACCAGGAGGTCCTGCCACCTGCACAGGAGAGAAGGAGGGGAAATGGGAGTGTGGGGTCAGCCTCCAATATACAACAGAACTCTTGTTTAGCAGGTCCAATTGTGCCAGAACACACGGCTATACAAATGGCATTTCTGGTCACGTGAAGGACATGGGAAGGCCAACATGACCCTTTAAGAGGAACCGTGTGTCCTGGAGAAGCCATGGAGCCGCAGATCACACCCAAACAACCCACATCCACTAGAACCATAAACTGACAAACGCAGACGCAGGTGTCGTGCAATTGACATGTAAATACCCGGAATCGCCTAGTGTCTAATTGCAAATCAACGCGCAAATTTGACTTGCAAATCCCTGTAAACAGCATGCAAACAAATGAACAACCGCAACCCTCCATTACTCTGCCCTGTGGCTTGCACAAGCCTGCCCCCCTCACCATTCCCCCTGGCCCCCGAGAATGTCCCTGGATTCTCACCCATCATTGTTCAGGTCTGCCAGGGCAATGGCGCTCCCAAAATAGGCGCCCACCTGCGTGCCCTCCAGCACCTGCCTCCGCCGTAGGTCTCCGCCTGCCTCCTGGCTCAGCAAGAAGACAGCGCCCATATGTCGGTGCCGTGGGGCACCCGTCACAATCGTGATGTCCGTGGGGTGCAGGATGGCACTGCCCACCTGTACTGTGTACCCTGGGACGAGGGGAGGGTGGTCAATCAAGGCTCAGTACACTTTGTCCCCTTCCACTCTGGACCCAGCCCCCCCAAATCCCCCAGATATCTTCTATTCCTCTATCCCAAGTTGGGAAAGAAAGTGGACCGTGGACACCCAGCCTCCAATCCCGCCCGCACACTGGACTGTGACTTCCGTGAAGGTAGAGACCTTGCATCTCGGGTGCTCAGAAGAGGCCCGGCATATAGGTGGTGCTCAACGGGCGTGTGCTAGTTGAACTCAATGGCCCTCCTCACACCTGCACTGTGGCCTCGCTGTCGTACCAGGCACTGAAGGTGAGAGGCCAGCAGGCTAGGAACTGAGCCCCCTTCTTCCTCTACCACCCAATGAGCCACCACAGCAGGACTCACCAATATAGAGGTTTCCTTGGTCCTCTGGCTCCTTGTAACTATATTCAGATAAATCCCAGTCCTTCCGCTGAATCATGTAGCTGTTTCCTTCACAAGAATTTCCGGGAGGGGGAGGAGAGGAGTTTAGATCACCACTGTCTTCATCCTCCCTATCGAGGTCCCCCTGCCACCCCTACCCCAATAAGGACAATAATAACCCCTTCTATTTGTGAGCACTTTGCCATTGGCAAAACCCGTCCCCGTGGGGCGCCTGGGTGGCGCAGTCGGTTAAGCGTCCGACTTCAGCCAGGTCACGATCTCGTGGTCCGTGAGTTCGAGCCCCGCGTCGGGCTCTGGGCTGATGGCTCAGAGCCTGGAGCCTGTTTCCGATTCTGTGTCTCCCTCTCTCTCTGCCCCTCCCCCGTTCATGCTCTGTCTCTCTCTGTCCCAAAAATAAATAAACGTTGAAAAAAAAAATTAAAAAAAAAAAAAAAAACCCGTCCCCTTTATTTTAATAATTCTGTGAAGTAGAATGATGATGCCCGTTTTACAGATGAGAAAAACAAGGCTCGGGGATGGGAAGCAGTTGCAAGAGACATGGCTAGAATCTGGTCATCCAGGCTCCTGGATACTAGGTGACTCTTCCCTCACTCTAGACCCCGAGGCCAGACGCCAGGCTATTATCTCCTGGTTCTGCCCCCAAACTCAGGCTGCCTACCTGTCCCCTGCTCCATGGGTCTGCTGCTGGAGAGTAGCCACTGCCCTGCTGAGGTTCTAAAGGACCAGGGGGCAGGGGAGGCAGGACCAGAGGACTGAGCAGAGGCCTCAGTCTCAGGTGTGTCGAGCTACAACCATGCCCTGGGCTACCTGTTGGTCAAGAGGAAGGCCTCTCTCTGCCGGTTGATTCTACAATAACGATGCAGTAAGGACAGAAGGCTCACTGTGGCTACAATACGTGTGGTGGACACAGGTAGATGCGGAAGGGACGGGAGCCCTCAGACACCTGAGCGGCAGTGTGGGGCACAGCAGTTACAAGCACGGCTCTTGGTACAAAGAAATACTCTACAGGCCCCCAAAAGATTGCCCTGTAGGTACCGATGTGAAAAAATGCCCATAGCTTGTTGACAAGTGGAAAAGAGAAGTAGCAGAACAGCATGTTTAGTTGTGATTCTGTTTGCGTGTGTGTTTTAAAAAGATATCTTAGGGGCGCCTGGGTGGCTCGGTCGGTTAAGCGGCTGACTTCGGCTCAGGTC